GGTAACCCTCCCCGAAGCGGCCTCGGTCTTATACCTCGATCGTCGACTATACTCGTCGCATGGCGCCGCGGAAAGCGGCACGAATACACCCCGATAACACTGGGCCGTGGTGAAAGTCCGTGGGTCTTGCACAGGGTCGGTCGCTGCGCGTCTGGCGTGCGAGCGCGAATGGCGCGTCGTCCCGTTAGGGACAAGGAGCCTGGTACAATGTGAGCGGGGAGCGGCGGGGAGGGGTGGGGGTGGGGGGTGGGGAGGCAATCTGAGGGTTGGAACCAGGTTTGGACCCTTACTTCAATATTCGTAAGGCTAATTGGGGTGGCGCTTCCAACTCGCAGAACCGCGTAGAACCTCCTTGACAAAATGGCCTTCTTGACGGTTCCAAAGCGGTTCTAAACAATACAAGTCGGCTCCACACAATTGGGAAAACGAGCGTTTCGCTGGGAATTTCTCCGAAAACAAGATTTGGAACCTGGTTCCAAACAATGGGATGGCGGTTCCAAATCGCAGAATCGCGTAAAACTTCCTCGGCAAGATGGCCTTCTTGACGGTAGCCGTCAGCGTCGCGACGACAAGAAAACACGTTCAAACTTTAATCACGCCCATGTGCTCGTCACGCGGCATTGCCTTGGGGAGCACGTGCTGTTCTGTCACATTCGCCACGTGTCAACGCATGGGGGCAGAACAAAAGCACTATGCCGAATCACTTTCGCACTCGCCGCGTGGCAACCCAAAGGGGGCAGAAATTTTGACGCCCGACATGGGTACGGAAAACATGGGTACAATGCCCAACAACAGATGTTGTCCCAAAGCAACAGCGGCCGCTGATGGGCAGGCGGTCTTCTGTCTCGAATGGACACAGGCCGCGGCGGCGCGGACAGCGAGTCCTGTTCAAAATGAACAAGAACTGCTGTTGGGCATTGTACCCATTCTTTCCGTACCCATTTCGTTCGTGCCGAAAAAACGGACAGCGTTCACGCCTGCCCATCACATGGCAACCCGGGGGTGAGGCGGTGGGGGAGAAACGAACCTCCTTCTCCTCATTCCTCCTCCTCCTTCTCCTCCTACCTCATCCTTCTCCTCCTCCTCCTCCGTCTATCTCCTCCTCCTGCTGCTCCTCCTCCTCCTCCTACTCCTCCATCCTCCATCCACCTCCACCCTCCCTCCCTCCTCCTCCTCCTCCTCCTCCTCCTCCTCGCCCTCTTCTCCCCCTCCTCCTCCTCCTCCTCCTCCTCCTCCTCCTCCTCCTCCGCCTCCTCCTCTCGCCACGCGTGCGCGCGCCCGCCCGCCCGCTCTCGCCGACGACGGCGCATGGCGACGACGACCAGCGGCCCCCCGCGCCCCCGCCCTTGGGGACCTTCCCGGCGCGAGGCCCACGCCCTCTCCGAACCCCGGCGCGAGGCCCACGCACTCTGTGCCTCCCTCCGCGAACCCCTTCGGGAGCGGCCAAGAGGGGGGTGTCCAAGCGGGGGGGGTGTGCAACTCATGACCGGCGGCAGGTGCGCGGCCCAGCGAGGGGGCCAGGGACGTAGTGAAATAAGAAGAGGCCGCCATGAAATCTGGGGAAAGATCATGGCCCCCGCCATGATATCCACCCCCCCCGAGTCATCACCCCTCTCTTTGCCGCCCCCGGCCCCTCCGGTGCCGGGGGCTCAGCACTCCACGCCCCTGGGAGCCCCCACGAGGGAGCCTGAGGGATCCGCCGTGCTCGTCATGAGGTCCCGCGGCAGAAGCCCTGGATTGTCGGCGGTGCTCGCCACGCGGCACCGCGAGGAGGGCGGAGGCACACACAAAAACTGAGTCGCCGATCGTCGCGTGGCAACGCTGGGGCTGCGAACACCTCGTCGCGTGCCGACGCACGGAACGGCAACCATGCCATTGTTCGGTGCTCACCGTGGAAGCGCAGTAAGCGGGAGCAAATAGGGTTTGCTCTTCTGCTCTACGATGGGGACAACGCACGACGACGAGAACGACGACGACGAAGACAGCAGCGACGACGAGAAACGACGATAACGGCGATAACGACACGCACGACAAAGAAGACGACAATGACTACGAGGACGAACGCGACGACGACGACGAATACGACGAAGACGACGACGATGACGACGAGACTTCGCGCAGATCCACACGGGGAGGGAAGGGAGGTAGCTTCCGAAGCCCCCCCTTTGCAAAGGGGAGCCCAAGCTGACCCCGAGCCCTTTTGCAAAGGGAGAAAGGCTTCAGAAGCTCCTCTCCCCCTTTTTACCGGCGACCCCCTGCTTCGCAACTGGAGAACAGTGGTAGCGTTTGAAGCTTGCTCGATTCGACGGGGAAACCCAAGCTCGCCCGAAGCCGACAGGGGGAAGGGCGTCTGGCTTTCGACCCCCCCCCTACAGCAGGAAGGTGGGGGGGTAACTTGCGAAACTCCCCCCTTCTCTGCAGAGGGAAGCCCCGGCTTACAGGGCACGAAAGCCTCGAAACGTCCAGGCCAGAGGTTAAAGTCGTTGCACGCCCTCACTCCTCCCAGGGTGGGAGGGTGGGAGCCGAAGACAGGCTATGGAGGGGGGAGAGCGGGGACAGGTGAGAGAGGGCACTCCGATGTGTAAACTTCCATGGATCGTTTAGCAGGTGTTGACATCACCGAATTCAAAAAGCCCAAGCTCAAACCGTTCAAGAACATATAGAGCAACTCTTTTTTTTCATATTGCAGGGACATGAATCTGACGAAAGCCTCGAAACGTCCAGGCCAGAGGTTAAAGTCTTTGCACGCTCTCACTCCTCCCCAAGTTTCCCGAATACGGGAGTTCACTAGGGTTGGGAAGGGAGGGATCTTGAGTTGTATCCGAACGTGGCGACGCAAGCGGCAGTGAGCGCTCGAACTATACAGTGTGCGAGCTCAGGCGGGTAGGCGGCCGCTGGACGGGTGCGGGCGCTTCCTTCGAGCTGGAAATGAGGGAGGCCTGTCCGCGAGCACCGTCCTCTCTGACCACAGCATTTTCTGCGCAGATTCTTAAGGTCGTCAACTGCTACGTGACAGAACATCAGGCGGGTTGGCTTCTTACATTGGGCTCTGAATTGGCACTGGTCTAATTCAACTAAACTGACATGCGGCAAGTGGGCTAAAGCTTGGATCTCTGCGGTGTGCCACAGACGAGAGGTGAGCGGGTGCTCAAGAACGGCAGGGATCTTGAGCTGATGGAAAAGAGCACATAATCCTATGGCGGCGTGGGCAATCTGATTGCCTACTCTGACTTTCTCTCGGTCTGTGGCGCTGAGCAGCTGTCTGGGCAACCCCCAGGGCATATCCAGGGACCGGATCTTTGCTGTCCGATCCCGCGCGATTGAAAAGGTTTGGCACGAAGGGGCCAAAGCTGCTGCCAAGATTAGGCCCCGACGGGCGTCGCGTCGGATTGCCCGAAGGACCTTCGGGTCAACAAGATTTTGCCAGACTGGATCGTGGGCTACATCCCAACTGCGTGTCCTGAAGCCTAGTTTATCGCCTGCTCGCGCGATGCACCGGCTCCCGGCAAAAAAGTCCGCTGCATTCCGGCCTCTGAGGCCAAAACGCTGTGCGGCGAGGCGTCTCTCGCGACAGCCGCGGGAGGTCCGCCTCAGCTTGGCACGAGCGACTGCCAGGTCCGCATCCGCATATCCTCTAGGGTGCGCGAGAGCCTGCTGGCGTCGATGCTCGCGCCTGAGCGGCGAAGGTGGTGCAGTGTCAGCCTGTCGACCCCGTCCTCGGCCGCCGCCAGCTGCACCGCCTTTGAAAGCTCTAGGTACGCGAAAGGCCACAGCATTGGCCGGTCTTCGCTCCCTCTGGGCTCGGGGAATAGAGGACCTGGCCCCTGGAAGTAGCTCGAGTCCAGGAGGCACTCCTCGTCGTGGCGATTTGTTTTGCTCGGTCTTCCCTCTTCCTCGGGGTGAGTCAGAAGGCCCCAGCTGCCCACTGTTGCGCGCGACGGTGGGACCAGGTCGCACCTTCGAGCTGCCACCAGGGTAGAGGACCTGGAACAGGCGGAGAGGCCCACCGCTAAGAACAGAGCCATGAGCGGGAGGCCCTTGTCCGCCAGCAGCCACATTCCCGGCGGCTGCACGGCGAACGGCAGTACTCGGCGGGTCCGCGGGGGCGCCCGTCGTCTCCACGCCTCCAGCGCTCGCCACGTCCGCGGCGGTGCTCCCCCGCCCCGCTGGCCGAAAGCTGGGCGCCGGTCCACCAGGGCAGTTCCAGTCTGGCCCTCCAGGCTGCTCTGCTCCCCGGACAGGTACATCGCGTTGAAGTAGTCGCACGCCCAGCAGTCCACGGCCTCGTCCGTGCTCCTCACGAGCTTGTCGTTGGTCGGGTCGGCATGCGAGTAAGAACGATCGAGATACTTGGCGCAGCGCTCCCTCGCCTGGCGGGTCACCGCCAGACGCTCCAGCAACGTGGGCCCCCCGACAACGGTCTGCATGATCATGTCATCATGTCCGTGTGGAGGGCCGCTCGGCGTTGGCGCCGGGAGTCCTGGAGGCGGCGAGATCTCCTCGAAGCCGCCGTCGCATGGTTCACCACGTTGTCGGACCCGCTCGACTCGCCTTCTCCCTCGGCGCCCGCCTCGTCGTCGCCAGCGGAGGCCGCGGGAGCGAGGTCCTCGAGCGCCACAGGAGGCGACGTCGGCGGCTGGCAAGGGCGGCGCTCCAAGCGTGTCCTGGTCGGTCGGGCGCCGTGGACCCCCGTCGGCACGTCGAGGCAGGCTCTGGGGCCACGTGCCTCCGTCGCTCTCTGGGGCCCCGTCAGCACTCTCGCCCTCGCCCCCGCCGTCAGCGGAGCCCTCGGGCAAGGCGGCGGGCTGGCGCCAGGTCTCGGCCGAACACGCAGCGGTCCTGGAGAGATCGCCCGCGCTGGGGCCCACGTCGGCTGCAGCGCCCGAGCAAACATCCGTCGGGACAGACTCCTCGGGCACGGAAGCGAGGGAGGCCTGAACATAGTTTGAGCCAATACGGCTACGGAGAGCAGAGGGAGAGGAAGGGGACGAGATCCTAACCTGCTGATCCTGGACGAGACTTCCGAGTGATCGCGGCTCCCGGCATCGCTCCGGTTAAACTCCGAAGGGATCCATCTAAAATATGGGGCGATGCCAAGGGCAAGAGCGCAAGCGTTGAAGCGCCGAATCTGGACCAGAAGCTTGAAGTCCTGACTCCTCGAGCGGGCAAAAGCTAGGACCACGGCCATATTGCCACACAAGAAAAGCTACCTGGTGCAAGACCCGTGTCTGGTCCCGGCGAGCCTACGGATGGCCTTCACCAAGGCCCGGGCCTCCAGCACCAGAATGCCCTCGCTGAGGCCCCAAACCCCCTTCCGGACGGTTTTCCAGGCCGAGCCCCGGAGGAGCCGCCAGGGGACTTCGGGAAAATCCGCAACGACCTCCCAGTCGTCTGAAAGAGGATCGTCTCCTAGAAGCTGGCTTCTCCACTCGCCTGACTCGTCACGGAAGAGGTGGGCGGAGGTGGGTGCGGATTCCCGAGCGGAGTGAGCACCGACACGCTTGAAACGGGGGCGCTCGCTGACACGACCGACGCCGGCGACCTGAGCTGGGTCCCAGAAGCTTTGGGCCATCGCCCAGCCCGCTAGGCTGGCGTCGGTTTCTAAAACGCAAGGGTTCCACGGCAGCCACCAGTCGCGGCCCAGAAGCAAAAGGACCCCTCTAAAAGCTACGAGCTCTTCGACCACTTCGGGCCACATCGGGCCCACGTCGAGATACTGAACCGAAATAAACTTATAGACAGTGTGAAAGATAGACAGGGACTCACGAGCCGCCAGGCCGCAGAACGCGCAATGCCCAATTACTTTTTCAAGCGCCTGGCCGCTGCAACGTCCCCGAGCGAGAAGGCCAATAAAGCCTCGCTCGAGCTTCCAAAACCGGCTCGAGGTGATCCCCGAGCGAAGGCGGACGCCGTCAAGCTCGGTGCCGAGAGCCTCGCCAGCGCCCCCGTGGGACTCTGACTTGTGGAGCGCCAGCCCGACCGGCTCGAAAAGATCGCCCCATTCTGACACCATCCTCTCGCTGAGATCGGCGCCGTCCGACACGGCGCCTAGGTTGTCCACGTGCACGTAGGCGCCCCCGACCCCGCGCGAGGCGGCGCGAAGCACGAAGGCGTCGGCCTGGTCCTGAATCAGGGGCTGCTGCCTGCCAGCCGGCATCGCCTTGCACAGGCTGGGGCTTCGGCACGCCCTGTCCTCATTCGCGGCCTGGGCCAGGTACAACGACCACGTGAACCCCATCGGCAGCACGGCCAAGTAGGGCCGCGCGGGAGCGTCTGGCGGGGTCTCCGCCGGGACGCCGGCCACCTGCAGGCCGTCGAACACGTACTTGGGGACGGCGGGCAGGCAGAAGTAGCGGCCGAGGTCCTCGCGCACGCGCATCCGGTAGAAGCAGTCCTTCACGTCGGTGGTGGCCACGTAGACGGCGAAGGCGCCCAGGAGCCGCTGCCCCTCAACTGACGAGGGCAGAACATCAGGCGGCAACTCGATCTCGATCCGGCCAAAACCCTCACTGCTGAGAAGCTGCACGCCTGGCGGGGCTCTGAAGTGGCCGTTGCTCCGCCTCGCATCAATTATCATACGCTGTGCCCCGTTCGTTTTAGCCACGAAAAACAGGCCCACCGACTCGGCGGGCCTGGCTGTTACACCAAGAAGTCCGCGTCCAGCAAGATCTCGCAGAAAGGTACGGTAGGATTTGGGGTTCCTCTTCAGCACCGGGTCCATGTATAGCCGCAGCATGCTGTCGAAGTTGACTGACTCCGGCTCCAACCTCATTCGCTTGTGGTTCTCCTCCAAGAACGAGCGGCACCCAGGGCTCACGATATCCTCAATGAAGCGGCAGTCCAGCACGCTGTCGGGAAGTGAGACCTTGCTGGGCAGGTAGGAGACGAGGTTCCTTGGGGCCAAGTCCGTCTCGTACACGGACTGCCCCCGGAGCAGCTCCCTCAGGGCTGCCTCCGCCTTCGGCATCACCTGCGGAGCTGCGGCCTGTCGCCGATGAGCTTCACGAAGCAAGTGTTGCTGAAGGGCTGCATGCTTGTCCAGGGTCGTTGCGCCTGGACTCGGTGAAGCGGCCGCGCCCTTGAAGCCGGCCAACCAGTTCAAGCTGCGGAGGGCGCGATTCACCAATTCCACCTCGTGCTGCCGAGCGTGAGTCCTGTGCTGCGACCTGCGCCCACGGGCGGAGCCGCTCGGCGCAGCCATCATCGGCACGGGGAACAGGTCTCTCTCAAAATCGGACGGCGGCAGCGGTGAGGCGCGGGCCAGATTGTGGTACCAGCCGGGGGGGGCCCATTCCCCCGGCTGTGCCTTCTCGGTCATGACTGGACCGGCGGGGGGAGCCCCGGGGTGCGACCTCCGCGGGCACGACCGCCGCGACCTCGCCCCCTGTCCCCACCGCCGATCCTTGCGGTGGCACCCCCAGCGCCCGGCTGGGTTGCAGCAGATCCCGACGCCACACGAGCATCCGCAGCCTCGGCCTTCCTCACGGACTGCTCGACCTCACAGTCCTCCTTCATGTGGCGGGCCACGTGGCTCCTCGGCGGCGGCGCCGTCGACTCGTCTGACTCGCCCAGCGGAGCCAAGTACTTGGCGGTGGCGGACGAGGGGGCACCAGCGCATTTGTAGGCGCCCACGGTCACGTTGAGCCGGCGCTCGGCCACCACAAGGCGGGCGAGCCCCCCCAGGTTAGCCTGGTCGAAGGATCCGGCCTCCTCGAGCGCCTCTATCGGCGGCCAGGGCACAAGGGCGACCCGGTCGGCGTGCACGACGTGCTTGTCGCTCAAGAACTTCTCGAGCCAACTCCGAGGGGTGCCCGTCGTGTGGTACATCATCTTGCAGGTGTGCAGGCGAGCCAGGCCGCCCTCCTGACGCTGGTGGCCCTCGACGCAGTCCACCGACTCGTTCGCGGCCTCTCTGAACTCCTTGTACCGCCCCCCTTGGCCGTCCCACTCGATCCAGAACGTGCGAGTGTCATCTCGAGCGGCGTCAGCCAAAGCAACAGTCGACGGAACGCCATCCCGGGCGGGAGCGCCCTCAGCGCCGCTGGCAGCGGCGCCATCCAGCACACCGCCTGGGGGAGAAGAGCCGAGCGTCGCCACGGGAACTGCCACCTCCAGGAGACGGCCCAGCTCGGCCACACGGCGCGACGCCCAGCCTGCCACGTCGCCCCGCGGCACCAGCTCCAGACGAAGCGCCCGTCCGCGACGAAGCCCGGGGGCACCCAATCCAGCGCCAATGAGCGTCTCGTTCGACGGGTCCGCGATCGTGCCGATGTCCAGGTCGACCACTGGCTCGGTCAGCGCCCAGACGTGCCCCTGCTTCCCGCGGAGTCGGTGCGACGGCCGCGGCGGCGCGGCCCACGGGAACACCTCCCCGCCATCCAGCAGCATGCCAGAGGCGAGCTCCACGTGGGCGGGCCCCCCGGCAGCCGCCTGCCCGCGAGCCTCCATCGCCAGTCGGCACCCGTCGGCCAGCTCCACGAGCCGAGTAGGGGTCGTCCGCTCGCCGAAGCTGCACAGCTTCCGGCCGTCAGCAGGCGAGGCACCCCCGTCGGCGATGCGCTCGTCGTCCGACGGGCCGTCGGTCAGTGAGGCCCCCGAGAGCAGCTCCTTCCACCAGTAGCCGTCGGGCGAGAGGAAACAGTAGAAGTGCGGACCCACCAGCTCGACAACCTCACTCGCCGCGAGGGCCAAAACACGACCCGCTCGAGGTCCTTGACGTCGTCGTCGCAGCTCACTTGGGCGAGAGCACCGCGAGGGAGATCAGCGCACCACTCTTCCCCCGTGGGAGTCGGAGCCGCCGACAAGGCCTCGACGCCGGCGTCGGCGTCCCCGTCGAGCCACGCCAGAGCCTCACTCGGTGGCACGGGTCCAGGCCGAAGGGGGCTCGCTCGCCAGTCCAGACCAGCAATCAGCGCCACGCACAAGGCCGGCAGCGCAGTGAGCCCGCCGGAGGCGGGCATGCGGCGTGCCGCCCGTCCTTAAGCCGAAGACAGGCTATGGAGGGGGAGAGCGGGGACAGGTGAGAGAGGGCACTCCGATGTGTAAACTTCCATGGATCGTTTAGCAGGTGTTGACATCACCGAATTCAAAAAGCCCAAGCTCAAACCGTTCAAGAACATATATGGTTACTTTATGGATAAATGCATGCATGAACTCATCGTTGTTTCTAATACTAGACCCCTGCATTTGTAATACATGATCCGCACTCGGAGCATGTATTTCAAACGGCGCTGCACCCTGGCTTCGAACAGTAGGGGGGTGGGAGAAGCTCCCGACCCCCCCCCTCCCCCCCCCCCTCTTTTTCAAAGGGGGCGCTCGGCTTCGCAGAGGGGAGGAGGAGCCGGCTTCGACGACCCCCCCCCTTCTGGAGGGAAGGAGGGGAAAGGTGTAGCTCGAAGCTGGGGGCCTCCCTCTTGGTCTGCCGACCCCCCACGGCGCGCTCTTTCGCACCTGGCTTACATCTCCCCACCCTCTCCTCTCCTCCCCCCCTCGTTCGGCGGCGAGCGAGGGGGGGAAGTGAGAAGGAGAAGGCCTTCTCAGAAGGCGGCGGGACTTCTCAGAGGCCCTCGCGCCTTCTGAAAGGTTTCTTGGCGAGATCTTTTCTTCGGATGCTTGCCTTGAGCCATGCCAGCAATGGCATGATCTCTGTCAGTAAACCTGCTGGGGGTCTCTGGATTCCTGCAGCCCCCTTCGTGCCGCCTAGCTCTTCAGCCAGGCACGATGCTCGAATCCTGAAAAGCTCCGAAACTCACTGTCAGTGCACAGCGCTCTGGACCACGGCGTTGGTCGAGCACTGCAATCAAAGTACACGCAATAGCCGCGCTGACGGCCGTAGCCCGTCCAAGGCAATGACAGCGCGGAGCGAAAGACTGCAGGCCGAAATGACCAGGCCAAAATGGCCGCTCGTGCCCCTCAGGTTCAGACCTTCGCCTGAAGGGCACTCGAGAGGGGCGCGTCCGAGAGCTTGACACTCATCATCTCCAGCCCTCGGAGCATCGCCGCCTGGTCGAGGAACTTCGTCCTCAGGTCCGCCGGGTTCGACTTCCTGGGAACCTTAGCCAGTTGAAACCGTCCGTCCTTGAGTGCCTTCTGCACCCACAGCGTCGGCGTCTCGAGGTGTCGGACTTTGCCGCAGCCTCGTCGTTGCATGATGCCAAGAGCAGCTGCCGAGTCGCTCCAGATGCGAAGGCTCACGTCCCTGCCTAGGCCCTGGCACAGTGACTGCATGCCGATGGCCCTGCTGGCCGCCCGCACACAGCCGTGGAACTCAGCCTCCCCCGAACTCATGGAGATGGGGATCTGAGTCGTCGATGCCGTAACGATCAGGTGCTGCCCATGTTTGATCACGACCGAACTGGTGCTCCTCCGCGTGATCGGGCAGCCTGCCCAATCGGTGTCCGAATAGATGCCCATCACTGTGGGTGCCCGCTGTCGGCCCCACTTCCAGATGGCCCGCGGCGCCCCGATCAAGAAGCGCCCAGCGCGCTTCAGAAGGCGGAGGTGTCGCTCTGTCGGCCTCTGCATGTCGCGAGCGCACTCCTTGGCCGTGAACTGCACCTCTGGCCGATCGAGCGCCAAGTAGCCCAGCCTCATGCACGCGCTGCGGTACTCTGCCGCCTCGTGCTCGCTCAGCTCGCGCTCGACCTCAGGTGTAAGCTTCTGGCTCAGCCCTGGCGTGCTCAGTGACTTCGTGGTGCGGGGGTCCATCCCAAGCTGCGCGTGCAAGATCTGCGCGCGCCTGGGACCCGCCTCGTACTCGATGGCCTCGCCCCCTTGGCACCATCGGTCTCGCCAGCGCATTGCCCTGTTGAGGCACGTGATCTCCTTTGCGTCGGTAGGCGCCGGCCCGAGCACGCCCCTGTCCTTCACGATGAACTTCGTCTTCAGGGCCTCGCAGATCGACTCCGTCCCGCCCCGAGAGCCCTCGAGCACGAAGTCGTCGCCGTGGTGGAAGAAGCTCACCTGGAGGTCCTTGCGGCAGTACACGCAAGGCGAGAAGGCCGACTGGTCGCAGCCAGCACCGATGACCGTCTCGGCAGTCGCGAGCTCGAAGTTCTGGCCAGCGTCGCGCGTCCCGTAGAGCGCCATCCGCAAGAGCCCACGCGTACCGATCTCCTGCGACATCGGATCCTCCTCTGGAAGCTTGATGTAGACCGTCCTCTTGATCTCGCAGTTTGGCTTCGCCAAGGGCTATGAAGGGACTCGTGGATATTTTTCCCTTTTCCAATTTCATTTTAGTGGTCTCGTGCCATACAACGACAGATCTTATTGAACTGATCTGCCCAACAAAAAACAAACGCGCGCAAAATCCACTGCGGATGCCCTCAGAGGAGATCGAACAATGGAATGCTGCATAAGCGGCGCCCGCGTTCCGCCCGCAGTCCAACTGCAGAGAAAACCACAAATAATCAGCCCACCAGAAAGTTCACGAGCATTGCTGCGGGGACGGTCATACATCGAGCGAGGGCAGCGGAATTATAGCCGTCTGATGGAGCTCAGCCAAGGGCTACAAACATACAACCGCAAACTGGAGGCAAAGAAACAAGAGCAGCGCGAAAGAAGGTCACTGCGAAACCAGACAGATGTCTCCAGGAAGGCGAATGCCTGCCAACGCGCCGCTTGCAATTGTTAATCATACTGGCCCGCGGTAAACCCCAGCGGCAACGCCCAGACGCCAACAATAACACCTAGACGCCCGGTGAAATCATTGACGCGTTGCTCGAATCCTCACGAGCCAATCCATGAACAACCGCAAGGCGAGTCGCCCTGATCAAGGCCGGGTAATCGGGCAAGCGGCGAAAATAGCGAGCCGCATCCGTATTCGCGGATGATGAGGTGCAGGAAGCGGAGCAAAGGAGAGGAGGGCGGAACATGAAAATCATAATGAACACGGTGAAGAGAGGGAGCATGGGGATAGGAAAGACTGGAAACGTGCAAGAGCACGAGCAGGTAGGAACACGGAAGAGGAGCTTGGGGGAGGTAGGAAGAAGTACAAGAAGCCTGAGGGAGGCAAAAAGCGCACCAGTGATCCGCGCGGAACGCGCGTGCGCCGTGCGCCCTCACCAGCGAGGGTGTTGGAAGAGGTGGGAGGATCAAGGATCAGGAGGAAGTAGGAGGAAATAGGAGGGGCAAGAACATGCAAAAGAAAGCATTTGCAGACTCGAATCCCAAGCAAGTTGCGCTAAGCATGAAAGCGAAGCGAAGCAACATGCAACGCAAGAAAAAACGAGGACAACCGTTACATTAGGGAAAAGAAAAGGGCGCAGGAGTAATTAATCGGAAGAATGCACAGGAACGGGGAGGGAGCAGAAAAAAGGAGGAGGTCACAGAAGAGGGACGAGGAGGAGGAGGAGGACAAGGAAGGGACAGATAAAGGATAGAGAGGAAAAAACACGCTGACGACGACGGGCATCAACCATCGAGGATCTCGAGTCGTTCGCTTTAGGTGCCTGCGGGACGCCCCATCAACGTCGTCATATCAGTGCCGCCGCGGCGCTCTCTTAGGGCAATTATGGCAGCCTTTGGCGGCTGTCTTGGAGCCCCTTGGGGCCCTCTTCGGGTCGTTTCGGGGATCTCCTGGGCCCCTCTTGGAAGCCTCGGGGGTCCTCCTGGGGCCATCTTGAAGCCGTCGGTCAAAGAAGTGGGGCCCTAGCAACGCCCCGTTCCTTCTCGAGCCCCCCAGTCGCCAAATGCGGCCCTCTTGCGACGCCCTTGAAACGTTTTAAGCCGCTCTTTGGCGCTCTTAAAGCCGACTTGGACCCTGATGGCCCCCTCTCAAAGCAGATTCAAACCAACTCGCAGCCATCTCGAGGCCTCTAGAAACTACGGAAAGCAAAAAGGCGAGAAGGAACAAATTGAAGCGCACAGTGATTGTAAAAGGAGTTGAACCTGTTGGAGGCCTCCTTCAAGAGCTCGAAAGACAATTGCGGGCTGTCACGAAGCGGTCTTGAGGGGGCTTGGAGGCACATTGGAAGCAATATTGTACCATCTGCAAGTATATGGAGCGATCTCGGAATCCTTCTTGGGTTGCCTGCGGTTCCTTTGGAGCCATCTTCGGCCATTTCGGGCGCTCCACCGCCCCGCGGTCACTCTCTGCCCACGCCCGGGGGCGAGAGGGCAGGGGGGGGGTCCCCGTCCCTGCCAAGGAGAAACGCGCGGATCAGCTAGCCCGTTAAACCACCGCCCACGCTCTGCATGGCTGGTGGGATTTTTCCACGGCCGCCTGGGAAGACTATCCCGGATTCTCGAGTGAATTCTGCCCGGATTTTTCCGAATCCAAATGCGAATTTGCCCCGGAAGCCGCGTGATTTTTTCCGGGTGTCCTCCGGATTTTTCCGCGCGTGTTTTTTCGATGCGCGCGCCCAAGGAAAAATCCACCAAGAATTCGGAGAGGTATTCAAAGCGAGTTTTTGTTTTCCCCCCCGAAGTTTTCACTAGGCCGCGCGCGGAGCCTGGAAGGAGGGGGGGGGGGGGGAGTCGCAGGGAGTGGATGGGGCACGCCGCAGGAGAGGGCCGGAGGGAGGCAGGAATCCCAGCACCCCTTTAAGCGTGGGCGGCGTGACGAAGTAATTCATCCAAGCCCACTCTTCCCCTTCATAGACACGGTCCCCATTTCCCCGCCCAATCCTTCGTGCGCGGGAAGGTAGCCGCGGGTCGTTGGAGCGCCCAATACGGCCCAAAATGTATCCGAGATGGCTGCAAGGAGCCCAGATACGCCTCCAATATCGCTCAATGCATCCCAGGACGATTCCGAATAGCCTCCAACATGCCTCTGAGAGTCGTCAAGACCGCTTCAAGACGGCCCCGCGTGCCCTTCGAGCTCTCCAAGGAGGCCTCCAAGACAAAAAAGTGACAACCATTGCGCGCTATGTGTTATGTCTCGTCGCCTGTTCGTTTTCCATGGGCTCTTGAGGCCTCAAGATGGCCGCGCTGGCCTGAGATGGCCCTCCAGAGGAACCCG